CCCCTTGCTCTCTCACACTGTCCCTCCCTGTTCCCAGCTTTCTGCCTCCTGCTGTTTCGCTCCCATGTCCAGAGGGGTTAGTTCTCAGTCTCATGCTGGAAATGCTGCCAGTGAATGTTTCTGTGTGCTGCCCGCCAGGTCCCTGGGGAAAAGGCCTGGAAATGCAGTGCGGGAGGAGCAGTGGGAGCAAGGGGAAACCATTGTTTCTCACTGCTCGCCTGCTGCATTTTCTAATGGGAAAAGGCTCTCTGTGAGGTTCCGAGTTTTGTGTCACTGCTGAAGTTGCCCCCTCCCCCTTCCCCCTTGCCCCAGAATTTACCATCCCCTGGTGCAGAGGAGGCGAGGTTGCAGCACTGCTGTGAAAAAGCTGAGATGTGTTTTCAGTTTGCCTCCTGCTTATCTCTGCTGTTTGGACAGAGGGGTTTAAAAAGCTGGATTTTCTGTCCCTGCAGAGTAAACACACAGAACCCGGCAGCACAAACTATTTCTGGCTTATCAGTGGAGGAATGCAGCAGCTGAGGCTTAGCGCGAGTGGGCCGTCAGGAAGGCCCTGAAGGGGCCCCCTCCCCACTCCGCACTATTAGAAGTGTGAGAGCCCAGCAGGACTCAGAGGGGAGAGTTGGAGAAAAAGGCAGAAAAGGGAAAGAAAGAGGAAGAGAGAGAGTGAGAGAGGCTGAGCAGACCCTGATGGCTACAGATGAAGTTACAGGAGGGGCTCGCAAAGCTACGAAAAGCAAACTTTTTGAGTTTCTGGTCCATGGGGTGGTGAGTCGGGAAAGTTAGTGAGCTGGCTGGCTCTAAATAGAGGGATGAGTGGAAACTGGAGGCTCTGTGCTGGGCTGGATCGGCTCCTGCAGTGTGCTCCTGGGGCGCTGGCAACTGCCTTGCCAGGGGAGCACTGGGGTCTGTAAAGCCCCCAGCATATGCACGGGTTCATTGGTAATATAGGCTTGTGTCTGGGGGGATGTGTGCTGTGATTTTTGCTTTGCTTCTCCATGAATGGCGAATAACGTGCTTTTGAGCCTGATCATGGTGCAGAAACTGCACTGGATCTGACCCAAATGGGCTTGTAGGACACTTTGTTCTGTAATCAAACTTGTGTTTTGGAAAACAATTCTGCTGAAATCCTGATGAAGCCTGGTGGTACTGCCTCTGGTTCTTGTCTCCAATCTTGGCTCTTGTGTATCCTCTGGCTACTTAACAGGTGACTTTCAGGGGCTTGAAGAGATTAGCTCTGCAGATCTGTAACCGTCTATGGGAACTCACCCACAAGAGAATTTCAGGGTGCCATGTTTAATTAAAGCAATCCTTCAGGTCTTTAAAATTTGTCCAGCTTTTGTTTAAGAATCAGGTCTTTGATCTCCATTTAAGGGGAAATGCTAACCCTGTTTTGCTGCCATTGGAAACGATGCTCTTTAAACGACTCTCCAGTGATTGAGAGCAGTCACCATTTATAACATTTGGCTTTCTTGTTTGATACCCATTTAACAAAAATAGGACTGTTAAAGAGCCCCGAGGAATGCGGATATTGTTTGGATACTGATAGTCCCGTGTGTTTTCTCTCTTGAGGATTCTGGCACCTCCTGCGACACCTTTTTGAAGACGTCAGGTGCGGGCTCTTGTGCAAAGATCACAGAAATCTGTGGGGCTCACGGCAGGCTCCTAAGTTGTCTCTGTAGTGCAGGTTTACTACCGATGTGTCGTGTGTGTCCTGCACATCCTGGATATGGTGGGACTTGCAAGGCTGAGGACTTCTGGGTGGCGTTGTGTGTTTGTGAGCGCAGTGAGCAGGTGATGTGGTGCATGGGTGCCGGAGCAGCCTGCTGCGAGATGGGTGGGGGTACAGGGGTGACTGAGGAGCAGGCGTGCAGCTCTGTGGCAGCGGTTTTGTTGTGCGCATGTGGGTTCACTAAGGCAGTCTGGCTTGGGACCGCTGCAGCTGGGCGGAACTGTAGGCGAGTTGGGAGGCGTGAGCGCGTGGGTTGCTTTTGCCTTTTCCAAGGTTTCTGTTGGCGTTTCCACAGAAGTGGTCTTTAGTATCAAGAAGAGCGGCGAAACTAGTTATGTGAATTTGCTTCTTCCACATCTAGATGGACTTCATGTGAAAGTCATATACTAGCCTCTCAAGTGTGGGAATTTTTAATTCATCCCAGCATGAATATAGCAGAACTCATTTCCATTACTTGTTTGGATGCTAGAGACATCTGCCTTTTCTGCCCTGGGAGATTTGCTGCTAGTGGCACCTTACTTGAGTATTTCTGTTTGCCTGGAATATCTACATTTGTTTGTTACCTTCCTGCGACTTGTTAGTGAGGCTGGGGCTTCTTGTCTGTTATTCTGTTGCCTGAACACCTCATGTATGACCCTCTCCTTTCCTCCGTGATGATCTCCTTTACTTCTGCTTTTGTTTCCTTGCTTGTTCCTTCCTTCAGTTTCTTCCTTATCTCAGGTTCATTTTCGTCAAAACACAGGTTGGGATAGTCAGTCTTCCTTTACTTAAAAAAGCTATAACTTCATTTTATCTCTTCATGTCCTGTGTCCTACCAAATAAGAGACTGTGCCATCACAGACATTACCTTGACTTTACTTATTGCTGGCTATTGAGCTTTATTACCATCCACAGCGTGTCAGCATCTGAATGAATTTTTTGAAAAATCAAGTTACGTAGCAAACTTTGCTGGAATTCCTTGGAGTCAGATTCTGCTCTAATTTCAGGGAAAAAATCTCCTCTTCGAATTATGTTATTATTTTATCTATGATAACATTATTTGATTTGGTTATTGCAGGCTTCTACCCCCCTTCCCCCAACCCCCCAAAAAACCCCCAACCAAAAAATGCGGAGAGGTAAATGAAGGTAGAATGTTGTGAGAAATTTTTTTTGCTATGTGGACACTTAAATGAACAGGACAATTTTGCAGTATTTCCTACGGGCAGTTAGCTTTTGGATTCACTTGATCTTTCTGGAAACGTACGTTCCTTTGCTAAGGTCACTTCGCCCTTTGCTCCTGTGCACTTGATCCTGCCTTTGTTCTTTTCCATATTGCCAGCTTAGAAGATGTCGTCTTCCTTGTTTGTCCCAGTCAGACAGGGTACCTCTGAAAGGTGGGATCTTGCCACGGTTAAACATCTGAAGTGCGATACTTCATTCTCCTCCTGCTTGAGCTCTTGCTAGTTTGTTACACCTCTGGGTAGCAGTTCTTCTTTTAAAAAGGTTAAATTTATTTCAGTTATTTATTTTTACAGTTCTTTTACTCGTATTCTCTTTCATCAGGGTCTTTCACATTGTTTTTATGGGAAGAGATAATTTTTTTCCCCAAAAGGCTGCATCCTTTTCGTAGTATTTTTTTTTTTTGTTATTATTCTCTTCTCTATTTATAGCACTTTTATGGATAAATATGGCTTTAATCATTAAATTTATGTTGATTTATCTCTTTATGGATGCATTTTCTACTGTCCAGTAGTACATTTCAGGCTGTCTTTATGATGTCTCCCTCTGGGTGCCCAGCTGTTGCCTTAAATTTCGTTGGCCCAAACCAAGTTATTAATCTTCCTGCAGGCCATTCCTTTTCTCAGTTTCTTCTGTCCTCTAGACCCTACCATAGGCCCCCCTGCTGGCTGGATCCCTTCAATGGATGTTACCTTTGTCTCCTTTTTTTTTTTCCTTTCTTCTTTTTTTTTTGTTTTTTGTTTTCTTACTCAAACAGGTATCTTCCCATATAGCCTTGAGAAGGTCCATGGTACAGATCTTGTCAAAGCTCTTGTCCAGACATCTGTCATCTTGTGACTCCGTTGCAGCAATCTTCTCCTCTTTGGTGCCTTCTGCTGTCGACCTTGCCTGTGTCATCTTCACACAGGAAGCTGCTGAGAGGTTCGTTTTCTTGTCCTGTTGTTCTGACCTTTTAAATATGCTTCTGTGTCCTTTTTCTGTTCCCACTTTATCTTCCTTCCAAACCCAATCTTCTTGCCTTTTATACACAAGATGCACCTATAAAGGTCCATGTCCTTTTCTTAACTATCATGGCATATCTGTATTTACAATATACTTGCTGTCAGTTCAAATCACCTTCTTCTTCCCATAGTGATCTTGTTCTTTGTCCTCCGTGCTGTGTGTAGGAAGCTCTTCCTGTTAATACAAGTCCTTATCCATATTTATTTTCTGCTAATATGTGTTTTTTCATAGCTCCCTCTAATCTCTACAGTTTAATGTTAGTTACATATCAAGCCTGCTAATTTATACAAACCTATGTATTGCTTCTGTGACTCCTCTGCTTATCCTCAGTCATCTTTTTGTCTGGTTATCTACCTCTCAAATCTGGTCATAGAATTATATGGTAAGTACAGAAACTCTGTTATATGAAAGCATTTAATACAGTGAAAGAAGGGTCTCAAAGCATGCCATCATGCAAACTCATATTTAATATAGGGAAAACTAACTCATTGCCAATGTTAAAACAGACAAAAAGACAGGTCTAGTGCCCCAAAGATGTGGGGGGGTATCTAACCCAGTGATCTGGAAAAGGGCATGAGCAATGAATTTCATAAACAAATTTTGCATCTCCTCATACATTGCTGGGTTTTAAATGAACTGTAGAAATTCAGGAGCAAGGCTTGGATGTCACCATGAGCTGCCTTGCGTGTAGCAGCAGCCACTACTACTAAGAAAGCAAGTAAACTGTTAGCCTGCGTAAGAGATGGGGCAGAGAATTATGCAGAAGTGGTTGTAAACCCATGGCATATACTTACAGGAATGTTTTTCTGATTTTGGTCATCTGCGTGACTAACAAGCAAAAAGAGGGGTAACTCAGAGGGCAGAAGTAGTGGGAGGCCTGTGAAGACTTCATCAATAAGAGGATGGGATTTTTAAATTTCTTTATAAGATCTAAGGATGGAGACTGATTAGGAAATTTTTCTGTCACTGGAGGCTCTTGGGCACTGGTTAAGGCAGTAGACATCTATCAAAGATGATGGAGATGCTGGTGGTACAGCTTTGAGAGGAAAGACTAGATGACCTCAAGGAGTCATAGTTCAGTATATTATATAAATTATGTTTGTTTTATTAGAATGGGAAGAGCGAAAGATACTCTCCCCAAATTGATTGGTGATCTGTTTTAAGCAGATAAAAGTGATTGTGATTTCTTCCAGCCAGTCATCAGTTTGTAGAGATCACTACTAGAAGTAGCGAGGTGAGGAGAATATTAGGTTTGGAAAAGGTAGAACTTTGCTAATGAAAAATATCCCACTAATGTTTGTATTATCATGGATATAAATGCTATCTTGTCAGAACATAAACCAGCTAACACTAGAAGTGCTAGAAAAGAGTCTCAGAACTGTCAGGTTTGGACAGTTTGTTCCACTTCCCTAAGACAGCGCTGCCTGTGTGGTTCTCTGTGCTAGAACGTTGTCAGGGAACAGGTCCTGGAATGGAGTCACTGGTTTGCTGCACATGTATTCCCCATTTTGTTAAACAAGGAGATGTTTGGGGTAAGCGTAATGCAGCCTGGAGAAATCAAGGGATCTTACCGCAGTGAGGAAGTTTGATTGGGAAGCGACTTGCAGAAGACTGGTAGAGTGGAAACGTTGTACAGCATTCAGCTGTGCAAGGGAGTTGCCAGTAGAAACTGAAGGTTTCTCCTTTCCTAGCCCTGGACTAATTGCAGCCTAACAAATACAGAAAAGTTCACGCATAATTAAGAAAAGAAAATAGTATTCATTCTAGCTAGGGCTTTAATAGAGATCAATGTGATTTTATGCAATATAGGCTTGTT